AGTTTTGTTGCTTGTTTAATAAAATGTATTAGTGCTGACATGACTAATTGTCAGCATAATTCATGATTTGAAGAGATGTCAAGGTAGTTAAAAGAGGTTTTGAAAAAGCAAAAGAAGCATTCCATAATGTAAATGCTGTACCGTGTGCTCTTAATTCCTCTTGATAATATATGAAAATAAGTTCAATCTGGGGCTTCTTATAAAAAGGAGTGACTGAACTAGTCATTTTGCCCAGTGTCAGTTGTGAGAAGCCATACATCAATACTACATTTGTGTAGCTCTAGGATCACAGGCTTAGATGAGGCCTTGTGCTCGCTTGGGCTGCGAGATCACTTCTGAAGGCTCACTGTTCCTGACAGAAAATTCTTTTGTTCTCATAGACTATACTCCTTGTAAGAGCTTATTACTGTTCATATCTCTGTGACATCTGTAACGTACATAATCCATTGTCATTGTTGCTCTGAATTCCATGTGAGAAGACGATCTGGGACCCAGCATAGCTACTCCGCCTGGAAGCTGCTAGTGATTGTTGGTAAAGGGGTATGTCCAGAACTTACTGAGCAAGCAATCCTGTATAAGAGGTGTTCATCCTCAGCTGATGACCCAGCAAGGCTTACCTGTGCTTTGCTGTTGCTTTACACTCCGACTTGCCTGGAAAGCTACAGGTTCCTTTCAGCAAGAGCAGAGCAATAAGGCTAATGTTGTATCATTTACAGTTTTTAAAGTATTTTTGGAAAGAAAAATCTTTTCAGTGAGGGTATACTGATTATTTCTGTGGCTAGCAAAACAAAAGGATCAGCAGCTGCAGAAGGTACGCTTCTCAAAGAAATTCCAAGTGTCATCTGAAATGTGCTGTGGTGACTCCAGCCTCATTTACCACCTCCTGTCTGTTTCTTAATGTACCAGTTCATTTACACTTAAATGTTTCTCACACCATGAGGGGTCACAATAACCTCTTGAATATTTAGTCAAGTTCCTTCAGCATTACAGTACCTTCACCAATACCAGAATGTTCCATGGCAGATGTTACAGGTTTGAAAAATACAGACCAACAAACTAACTTGATGGAGTCGCACTCATGTCATACAGCCAAAGTTTTTGTACCAAAGTAAATCCTCCCATTTCTCTTTCCAGCCAGTTGAGATGCTCAGGAGCTCACTACCTTCCTATGTACCACCATGGCTACAAACCTTTCCTGGGTCAGTAGAGGTCTCATGAGAAATTTCCCAAATACTGCTTCCGACGGGCAGGCATACAGTGGTCAGCAAGGCTTGTGAATCAAAACGTATTGATAAACACATCAGATGCACTCTGAGGCATGAAGCAAAGGTCCTCCTTTAACTAGCCTGCATCAATAACTAATTAATGAACATCCTCCAATAGCTATTATTTCTATCAGAGTATGGTTCATTTAACATCAAGGGAAACTCAAACAGAGAATTCAGCATGAAGAACACTTGCCATGGGACAGGAGAAGTACAGAGTGTACTAGAAGAACTTTAATTCCCAATCACAGGCTTTTTCCTCTGTGCCTCAGCCCTCTCCCTGCACCAGGCTTAGGATGCCACCCTCCCCTGCTCAGCTTTTATGCAGGATGAGGCTGCAGAAAACAGGCCACTGCTTTCCTCAGAGGTGCAGGCGTGTGCTTTCTTTCACCCTTGCCAGAGTTCTTCCTGCACTGTGCAAATAACAAACGGGGAACTGGGCACTTCAGGCGTGTTGTGGCCAGTTTTATCCAGGGCTTTCTTCCAGCACTGATCGTCAGTCTGGCTACATCCCGGCATGCTGCTGGCCTGGTATGGGGAGGAGAGTGCTGTAGGAGGAGGGCTGGGTGTTCCCCAGGAGAGGTCTGGTCAATCTGGGGGCTCCCTGCAGGAGGAAGCATGAGGCTTTTCCTCTTCCTGGCCCGTGGGCACTGAGAACACCTGCCCAGGGTGTGGAGAGGGCCTGTTGGCAGCACAGGTGGGAGCACTGCGAGCAAGCTGTGGTGCTGGCCTAGTTCACGGTGTGGTCAGGCAGGGCAGTGCTGGGCTGTGTGGGCGCAGAGTTTGTACCGGATGCAGGTCCGGGGCTGCCCACAGTGTTTGGCACCTTCTCCAGTTGCTGCAAGAAGCAGGTGACTGGCTGGGGGGTGAGGAGAGAGCTGCCACCGGTGCTCAGACCCTGTCCCTGCTCCGTCCTGCGTAGGCTGCGCTGTCAGGGGCCAGAGTCCAGCAGCTTCCTCCCGTCTTGCTGCCCAGAGGCTGTGTTCACTGGAACTGGGTAAACCTCAGCCCAGAGATGGAAGCAGCCACATTGTGCCTTTGACCCAGGGGCATTTGCCTGGCTGCAGCGTTGCATCAGTGCTGGGGACAGGGGCATGAGTGGGGCCTGCGCTGAGCCCACACCTGCCCTTGCATAGGCCCAGGCACTGCCAGCACTGAGGCCTGTCAGCAAACCCCTGCAAAGGTTAAGGCATGCTGGAGAGGGCACGGTTGGCCTCAGGCTGAGCTGACCTCAATGCAAAGGGACAGGGGCCCCTGTACAAACACACCAATAAGCTGCTTGTGCCACTGCTCACCCGGATGTCACCAAAGGAGTTCAGGTGTCTTGTGTGAGCCTGGCCACCATGGGAGGTTTCCCCTCAGTCCAACATGGAGAACGAGTACTGAATGATGGCAAAAAATGCATCAGAGAAAGGAACAGGCCTGAGGTGGCTCCAGCCAATGTGATCCCTTTAGGCAGCCAGGGATACCCAGTATGGTATCCTCCAAAGTCACAAGCTTCTGGGTTGAGTTTACCTGTTGTACTGTGGGGCACGTGGTGGGCTCCTGTGCCCATAAGCCAACAGAGCTGTGTCAGTCCAGTGGAGGCATAAGACGGAGATGACCTGGTAGCAGCCAGGTGGCTGGGGCAGGTGCTTTGGTTGCTGGCAGATCTTGTTGGCAAGTTCAGTACTTGCCCTGGCTTTGTGTGCTGTGTTCTGCCTGTGGGATGCATTCCGCTGGGGTCAAGCAAGCTGAAATGTTCCCTGACTTCCTCCTCATCCCACACCTTCCACACCTTGGAAACAGGGCTGTCCCTTGTTTCATATGCTGCTCTGAATGGTGAAACCCGGGGAGAAGTGATGAGGCTGCTGGAGGAGGGCAGCTGAGAGCCACAGCTCACAAGGAACCGGGTGAGTCCAGGACTGCTTTTCACCGTATTCCCCAGCATAAGGACCGAGAGCTCATGAAGCTGGTTTAAAACCAGTGAGAGCAATCTCCACAGCTCGCAGCGCAGCACAGCACAGCTGTGGCAGTGCTGTTGCTGTATGACCAGGCCATAAGTCTCTGGCAGAACTCCAGAGAAGTAACCTAACTGCTTAACACACTTTGCTGTTGATTTCAAATTCCTATACATCGAATCACAGAACGGTTTGGGTTGAAAAGAACCTTAAAGACCATCTAGTTCCAGACCCCCTGCCATGGGTAGGGATGGCAAATAAAAGGCAAATCCTTGTCTTTTATTCTGAAAATTCCATTTGGGTGTCTTCCTTTGCTGTATAGTGGCCTTTTCAGACTTGCTCCTGAGTGCTGGTTGCACAGGAGGGTGGGAAAATGGCTGGTCCAGACTGCAAAGCTGCAACCTCAGCTCCCAAACAGAGAAGACTCCCCAGGGCACTCAGAGGGCTTGATTCCCATTTGACCATGAGCAGACCCTGACCTGGGGTTGTTCGTGGCAGACTGGGAAGGATTGTCACAGCTGCAGGGGACTCAGAGGAAAGCCACTGCTTTCCACCAGACTCTCTGAGGAACCTGGGAAAGGGGCTTGCTCACTCCTCATCCTTGGGAAGAAACTGAACAGTGAGGAACGACCTGCTCTGTCCTGGAGCACATCTGGATAATGAAGTGCTACGCACTGAGCGAGTAGGATCTTGCCACAAATGGCTTAAGGGTATGCCCCTTACAAAACTGGGAAGCAGCCCTCTGACCCTGTCTACCCCTGCAGTGAGAAGGTGCTCAGGGATCACATTCAACACTCATGGTTCAGAGCAGGATCTCTGAGCAGCTGTAGAGGTGTTTAAACCGGTCATGGTGAGCAGCACACAAGAACAATCCATGGAGCACACCGCACTGATTGTTCACTAGCTGGAGCAGGGCCTTGCTGAGCAGGACTGGCAGGGAGAAATTAATTCCAGCCCCCATTACAGAAGTGGGATGGTCGCTGCAGGGAAGACGGAACCCCCAAAGCTCCTGAACTGTGCTCATCCAGCCTCTCCTGCCAGCTGGAGGCACCCACTCAGGTCTTTCTTTGCACTAACATGTATCATTGCACCTCTAGGAAAAAAAAAAAAACTACCTGGGGAGGGGACTCAGGGTTGAAACCAGTGACAGATCACAGAACTGCCCACAGTTTGCAGGCCCCTTTAGAGCCCTACCAAGAATGAGTTACAGATACAAAAGGCAGAGCTAGAGATGCCAGGGGAGCTACGTGAGCCTTTTTTGTTTGGCTTTAGATACCTGGAGAAACACCATGTCTTGGCAGTAGCTCAGCAAGACCTGGCAGCAGGCCAGCAGCAGTGGGCCTATTCCCATCACAAAATTACGGCTGCTCCCTTGCCAGCTAGGAGCTGGGAGCTCAAGTATGGAACTGTCTGGCCTTCGGCTGCAACCCCAGCAGCCAGGCTTTGGGGACTGGTGCTGCAGCAGCAGCTCCCTTATGGTGCAACCCACGTTGCCTAGCAAAACACAGTAGTCCTGACACTGCAAGTGGCCAAACACACTCCATCACCTGCTGAGTATAGCTGTGACATGATCACAGTCATCAAAGCCCCACGCTTCACCCAGGCACGCCCCGTTCTCAAATGAAATGAGGACACATATTCACTGCTTCTCTTTAATGGCTACAGTGCAGTTCGCTCATCGCAAGCACCACTGGCGCGCTGCTGCAAAGGGAAGGAGGCACAGGACTGGTCTGCAAGGCTTCTCGTGGGAAGGCACCTCAGGTCCCACTGTCCCACAGCAGTGGGGGTCTTGCTATCACAGCAGCAGCTCGTGGGGCATGGGCAGCCAGCAGGTTGTTGGCCGCCAGCACCGCCATGGTGCTCCTTGTGGCGTACGTGGCACTCCCAATGTGTGGCAAAATCACTGCAGGGGACAGGGAAGGTCACTCGCTGGTTTCTTACCTTCACTGACCTCATACAGCCTCTTTCAGGGGTCTTCCCATGGGGGGGCAACCTGTGTCCTGCTCCAGCTGCTGCTCCAACAGGAGCCAGCATCAGATATGGAGCATGAAACAAAGTCATCAGCCACAGAGGACTGGAGAATACATCTGATAAATGGCCAAACAAACTACACTAACTCCTCCAAGCCAAAGAGCAGGTCCTGCCTGCTGCATTTAAGCTTGGTCCTCACCCTCCTGCGTGGACTAAGCCAGTGGTAGATGTAAAATACTATCCCTGTGGCAGAAGAACATGCAGTGAAATTCACAGGCTGTTGCCCTATTGCCACAGAGCTTTAGGAGGTTCTGCTCATCAACATAAACCAACACATATGGTCAGAGCCTGAAGGCTGTTGTGAAGCATCATGGTTGGATGCTCTGGAAAGGCACGTGTGGAGCAAATGGCCCCTGACAGAGTTGCAGCACAGTCAGGGCAGGGGTTTTATCCACCTGTATAAAAAGGCTTCTCGTATGCAATGCAAAGGAAGGAGCCAAAGCTGCTTCAATGGTACATTACTGTAACATTATTAGATGAGTACTTGCCCAAGGTATAGATCACAACGCCTGCCCTGCAGTCTCTGTTCCCTCAGTAACAGACAGCAGCTACAGGCAATGCAAAAGCCTGAACACCCAACATGCTGCTGCCCTGGGGGAAAGGCTCTCCCAAGGACTGTGGGTCCACATAGGTCCTTTCTCCCCAAGTCAAGAACCAGCCTGTGTTCCCTGTTAGCTGTGAAAGTAATGTCAACGTTTCCTCCTCCTCTACTTACGCTGTTTTCCTCCAATTTCTGAAACCATTTGACAGTTTTGGATGAAATCTGCAAATGGTTTCAGAATCATCAAAGCCTCTTCTGCGAAAATAAATACATATGTATTGTGTATGTTTTTCTTGGTGTCGTGTCAGAACTCTAAGATCTCTGAAGTCCTGCAAATATTTCCAGAAAGTCTCTGCTTTTATCGTTTTTCACACTGTCTACTGTGGGAATCAAAGCAAACAAATAAAAATAAGTTTTTAGCAAAAAGATAATCACAGCCATAGCTATGAACTTCTATTTCAGAAATGGACACTCAGACATGGGCAGTTCCAAGTTTTCATGGATTGCTCTATGGTTTCTTTTCAGAATAGGCTTTTCCTACTCTAAAAACTTTGTTCTTGGAGAGAGGACACTGCACTGGTGCTTTGCCCATGCAAGTGGAGATGCACATGCCAGATCTCATGGTTGGGGTACAGGCTGTGCAGTCAAGGCACTCGATCACATGAGACGAAGCTGCTCTGGCCTGGCTTGTGCCATCAGCTCTCAGCAGGGCTGGCTACCCCAGCAAAGCCAAGTGTTAAGGTAGGAACGCACCGGTGACGGGGTCACAATCACAGACATCTGCTTTCTAACCAGAAAGCTGTAACTGCTCTGTGTTGCACTTCTGCCTCTTTTCTGCCTCAAGGGATACAAGCAAGCCTGTCTGGCTTGTGTTTAAGTCAGTCCCACTCAGTAATTGGCCCAATCCACATTCTCCCTGCCTGTAGAAGAGGAAAGCTCCTGGCCCTGTTTGCAGAGGGCGGGTTAAGTTACCCACTGAAGGCCACACCATGGAAGGCAATGGACATGCCAGGAGCTGCCTCTAGCTCATCCCAGGCTGCTGGCGAGCCTGTGGTGCCTGCAAGGACAGAGCAGCACAGGTATGCAGCAAGGCCATGGGAAACAGCCCCACACACAGCCCCTTCACTCTGCAACCACAAGGGTCCCAGGAAAACATAGGGCTGCTAACGTCCTGATCTAAACCATCCTCCAGCCCCATGGGACAGCTCTCAGGGGGCTTTTGGGAGAGAGGAACAGTGAAACAGTGATCAGTTACTGCCCCAGGTTGCAGGGACCCTGCCTCCCCTCCAGCCTGGCTGAAGCACAACAGTCGCTGAGCAAGCCCTTCCTCATCAACCTTCCTCATCCAATCTCACCTGCTCCAGAGAAGACACCCACTAGTCCTGGGACCAGCAACTCCCTACCTGCCTGATGCCCATTACTATCTAGGAAATGGGCTGCCTGAGCTTGCTGGGCTCCCCTTTCCCAGTGAAAGCTGCCTTGGGTCATCCAGGGGATGCAGCTAGAGCATCTGCAATGAAACTGCTCATCCCACAGCATGAGCACTTGCCAGCCTCTTCAGCTCAGGGGTGCTGAATTTGCTGACATCTACTGGGGAAAGCGGTTGTCAGGACAAGGCCAGCAGCT